ACCTCGAGAGATACCAGTTGCCTCCCAGTCAGGATCTGCATTGCCGTTAATACCAATATTTGCTGGACTATCTGCATTGGGATCGCTAATGAGCGGAACAGCAAACATTGTACGATTAAGAAACGATATGCAACGAGAAAAAAAACGTTATCAAAATATTGGTAGAGGTGTATTCCTGCGTCCTTATAAGATTGGATCAAATTATGTATCAAAGAATAATAAACGAAAATCAGCTACTCGCAATATAAAAAAAAAAAAAACTAATTTCGAAGCTGCCCAATCGTGCATTGTACGAAAACGAAATTATGGACTATGCTCATAAAAACATACACGGGTTTCGTGGAGTCTTTTGCCGTAATACATTACCACAAACTCCACGTACAAACGAATGTGGTATAATCAACTTGGATTTAGATCAAAACCCAGGAACGCATTGGACAGCTTATAGAAAAAAAGGACAGAATGTCAGTTATTTTGATAGCTTTGGTCAATTACCACCTCCTTTGGAACTCCAAAAGTATTTAAAAAACTGTAATATTGTCTACAACTACAGTCGGTATCAAGACTTCAATTCATTCAATTGTGGACATTTGTGTTTGTCATTCTTACAAAATGGTAACGACGATAACACTAAATGGTAGTGGTTCAGAGTTGGAGTGCACATTCAATCCACCCATAAACATAACTGAAAATACTGAAATTGGGTTATTAAGTCTGCACACATGGAACGCTATGCCAAATATCGATGATAAAACTAACAGATTTGATTTTGGTGCTGGTATTAAACCAAATAAAACGTTGAGAATACCCACTGGTGCTTACGAGATTACAGATTTGGAGAAGTATATCTCAGAACAATATTTCAGATTAAACGCACCGGTCAAAGGAAACTTTTCGCTTAAAGCAAATCATAACACCATGAGATGTGAGATTAAATGTGATAATGATATAGATTTCACACACCCTATGTCTATTGGTCGGTTATTGGGATTTAAAAGCACTGTGTTGGAACACGGAGTAAATCATACATCAGATTTTCCATTGAGTATTACAAAAACAACGAGTATAAAAGTCGAGTGTAACGTTGTAGATGGATCGTTTCACGATGGAATACAAACACATACTATTCACGAGTTTTTCCCCGACGTACCACCTGGATACCGCATTATAGAATGTCCCAGGCAAGTAGTGTACTATCCGTTGAATACAACCCAACTTGATTACGTTAAAGTATCTCTGCGTGATCAAGACAATGATATAATAAACAATCTAAACGAACTGCTCACCGTACGTCTACATATAAGAAAAAAATAATTTTTCAAAAATGATCACAAACCATTTGGACGTCAACACATTCAGTTCATTATTGATTAAGTATGGGCTTGATATTCAAACAAAATACTCAAAACATACCGACCATAAGTGCTGCAGACGTTAAACAGAACGTTCGTGCGTTGTTTACTCCATCGATAGAACGTAGAGATCTTACGTTGACCAATAGAAATTTTCTGAAATCATTAGGTATTTTGCGGAAAAATGGAGTTTCTAAACGTTATGGAAAAAATGCAAAATGAAGACAGTTTGAAACGTGAATACTACCTGGACCATCAGAGTTACAACAATTCTTTTGGGTACAACGATGAAGTTCGTATTGAAATTCGCAACAAGGAAAAATTCACTGTACCCAGTGAAAGTTATTTAGTGGTCGAAGGAAGTATTGAACGGGCTGCCAATGTCAAAGGTGAACAAGTTCTTGTTCAAAACGTCATCATGAATTTATTTGATGAAATACGTTATGAAATCAACGGCAAAGAGGTTGATAAGATTAAGGCTTGTGGAATAGTTACTACATTGAAAGGCTACTGCACGTTTTCACCAAATGATATGATTCGACTAAATTCAGCCGGATGGAAAAGTATTTCACGTCTGAATACTAATGTTGAATTTATGGACGAAAAAGAATTCGTAGATTATGTACCAATGTCAATGTGTATGGGCTTTTTCGAACGGTTCCGGCATACCCTGATAAACTGCACTCAGACGTTAATTTTAAAACGAAAAGGCAACGATAATGGTGTATTTGTTACTGTTATACCCGATGATGCTAATGAAGCGAAAAAAGTTAAAGAAGATTCTAACTTAACACTACTTAAACAATCCAAGATTAAATTGAATACAATTAAATGGCTGATGAAATACTTTGAACCCAGTGTGAAAACAGAATTGAATCTACTGCGTATTCAAGAAAGTAAACGATGGCTGCCATTGGATTATCAACATTGGGACTATGCTGTATATCCTGTACTTCCACAAAGTACACACCATACATGGTCCGTGAGAACTTTTTCATCTGTTGAAAGACCTAGGTATCTGATAATTGCATTGGCCACTGATTTTACCAACATACAACAAAGTTTGAAACACTGTAATGTGCGCAATATAAAAGTTTACTTGAACTCTGATGAGTATCCGTATGAAAACCAAAACGCAGATTTTAAAAAGAATAAGTTTGCAGCATTTTATAACGCATATGTGCAAAGTCAATCTGCCATGTATGGTCGAGAAAATCCATCGCCATTATTGTGTCGTGAAGGTTATAAGAATTGTGGACCAACATTTTTTATCGATTGTTCAAAACAAAATGAAACGGTCAAGTCATCTACAGTAGATTTACGGATTGATTTTGATTGCTCTGAAACTATTCCTGATAAGACTAGCGCTTTCTGTGTCATAATTCACGATACTCAAATGGAATACAATGTATTCAACAGTTGAAGTACGAAAATTATAATTGAAAAAAATACTCATTACTTATTCCATAAAAAAAAATGTATATGTATAATTAAAATCAATATTTAATACTATCTAATTTATTTGTAATAATTTTTTTATTGTATAATTTATATGAATTAATTTTAAAAAAATTAGTTGTATCACTAAATTTTATATTATCTCAGGTTTGAAAAAAAAACAAAAATTGTACTAATTTTAATTCGATTTTTTTTATTTATAACATTTTTTTGTACACGTATATATTTATTTATTTTTAAATAAATTACACATTTTTTTAATAAACAGTTTTTTCCTTTACATTAACTGATCTCCCATTGATTTTTCAAATCATTCCAACGTAGTTTAGCATTACTCAACGAATCCCTGTGCATAGTTTCCATTTCACTGTACGATATGCCCGGATAAAATCTCATCAAATTCAAATCGGAAAAAATATCAAAAATGTTACCCTATAAAGAAAAAACATGTATATGTTTAACATGTTATTTTTGAAAAAAATTAATAAATTTTAATAACTAACCTTAATTTTGTGTCTGTTATTGTTAAAAATCACTCTAGATGCGTAATCGATGCACTTTGATAAATAGTCTGTTTGATTAATTTCATGGAAAAATAGCATACTTGGCAATGTTTTTTTCTCTGGTTTACATAAATATTGTTTATTTTGCGCACTTGCATCCATAATTAGTGTTTTGAGTATCATTTTTATTTCGAATACTACTTGAGGGCGAGCAATTAATAGTTTTCTATTCAATGTTTCGAATATGATATTTTTCAGTTCATAAAATCGGTTCAATCCTTCTTGTGACAACATAATTTGATATTCTTTACAATCCTTTGATTGTATCATGAAAAATACGTAAGATTGTGTAACACCATTCAGTTTTTGTACAACCGTATGCTCGTCCTCCAATAACACAATATCATTGTCGGACAGTAATGAGAAATAACCGACCATTGAATAGAACCTTTGCAAGAAGTGTATTGTCAAATTAACAGTAGTACATCCTTCGATTAATTCGATTTTAGGCCAAAACAAGTCAAGAGGATCGAGGCCAACACGAACATGTGTCAAAATATTTATTGCAAATGTAGACGTATCAAATAAGCTATCCTGGATGCATGCTAGTTCTTGACGTGTAGCCATTTTTTCTAATTTATCTGTGTGTTTTTCTTGCACAACTGATGCAGATAAATCCCCGCAAACCACTGTCCGTTGATTTTTTTTATTTAACTTATTAGTATGATAGCTGGTGGTCTATATGTACGGAACGGATTTTATTTAATAATGGTTACTTTTTCAACTTGTTATTTTGCACTTCTTTTATTTGACAATAAATTCTGTCTATTGTTAAACGTAGTTCGATGTATTTACGACGTACACACCAACAAATACAATTAGTTGGACCATCTACTTGATCTGCAGAATGTGCCCAAAAACACCCCGTATAATGTTCATTTTGCTCTTTATAACCACATTTCATAGCCAAACATTTAATTTCACTGTATTGTGTACATAATTTCGAAAGTAATTTAAACACATCTTTACACGGGTGATCATTTGCGATTGTATTCAATGTGTTTTCAATTTTTTGAATTAAATCCATATTAGTAATGATTTGACGTGTACAGTAACATCCGTGTTAGTCGACAGCTGCATTTAGACTGATTTGAAGTTAATATTAAACACCTTGTATTTTATGACATCCATACTACCGTAATTGTAATTTGAAGGGTGTATCTGCTCTCAATTGTGTCAGGCACGTGGTCTAAAAATAGTAGCTACTTGGTGAGTATTGTATTGATATGATATACTCATGACTTTTACGACTTATAAATAGTGTTTTGAAATAAATATACCCTATATACATAAAGAACAAAAATTATGTGATGGTTAAGTAAACAAACATAGTAAAAAAATTACTATATACTTGGACTTCAGATTCATTTAATGAACTCGTGGCATGTGTGATAAACATGAAACTATTGTGCTTAACATCGTGGGGCCCCATCGAAATATGTATGATTGACTTTTACGATCTCTCAAACAAATGCCAACTGATTTTTTTTCGACCGTAAGTACTGATTTTTACAACAGAAAATAAACGTATTGTTCAGAAAACCACCTCCTTAAAATACATCCCCGTTTTATAAATTTTGAATTTTGTTCGAACACCATTTCAAAATGTCGAATCAAACAGAACAAACGTCTTTTCAAGAGTTTCTAGAAACTCTCAAAAATATAAAAACCGAAATAGATTGTAAGTATTTAATTTGAAAAAAATATGAATTATAAACTAACTGTTTTGTTTTATACATTATAGCTGAAGATGAAATGGAAACTGAAACTGATGTGTATAATAATACTAATATCAACGACGATTATTCGTATGAGTACATATGAGGCGTGGTGAGGCAAAGTGATCTAAGTGCCAAAAATTGAAAAATACTTTTTTCTACACCAAAATGATCTATGTATATATAAAATATGTAAATGATCTCTTTACACAATACTGTGTAAAGAGATCTATCTCCAAACTATCAATAAATTGTTGGTAAAAGCAATTATAGATGGAGCTGTCTGTATGTCCACGCATGTCATTCGCTCTAATTGATCTAAGTCCATTCATGCTATTTTTATTTTTGTCGTTGTTATTATTGTTTACGCACAATGTCGATAACAGTCAACATTACATCATCATGGTTTGCAGTTTCTATATCAGTCGATATTTTGTTGTGTACAAATAGCTATCATTCTTATTTTTCTCTGTATTTTGTGATTTTATTTTGCGATCATGGATGAATCTGCTTTTAAACCATATGAAAATTTAAAGAATAAACGTCAAAGGAAAATAGAAAGTGAAAAAAGATTAAGTGGAAAAGAATACGAAACCGTTAAGAGAAAAACAAAAATATCAGGAAAAAAAGCACCTACAAACGAAGTAAGTAATTTTACTTCTTTTATCGTTAAGTATTTCATTAAGACAATGTAAATAAAATACTATACAAATACCTACCGATAGTTTTAATAATAATATTGAACTCTTCTTATATTACAGGTTATTTGCAAGTGTAAGTTTGGTTGCAATGATGTATTGCACATTAAAAAAAAGCTCTTCGAGAACTTTTACAATTTGGGAATCAACGAACAAGGAAGCTACTTAATGGGACTTATGCAAATCCTAACCATCCAAAGACGTCGACATGGAAATTATGATGATCCGGTAGAAAGTAGAAGGCAATCAACTATCAGTTTTACAGTGCCCAATGGACATGGAGACCTCAAAAGGGTATGCAAAAAAACTTTTCTTGACATTTTTGCTATCAGTCCTCAAAAAGTGACAACTCTTGTTAAAAGAAAAAANATATAAATAAAAATACATTTTTAAATAAATTTTAAGAATATTTAAATTGTTATTATTGAAATGAAAAATTGAATGCATTGCCACGTTTTCCGTAATAAATTAGAGATAATTTTTCCATAGATTCATTGTATTCATTTATCTCAGCGTCTGTGAGTGAAATTATTTTAGGCAAACATAGCTGTCTATCGTTTTCTAATCTCGCTATTAATGTTCGACCGTACTTGGTTTCCACAGATCTCAAAGTAGTACATATTCATTGTGAGAGAGTGATTTAATTTTATTCAGTACAGACATTTTTTCTAGAAAAAAAACAAATCATTAGTTTAAATATTAACTATACTTATCGTTAAATTAAAATATAAGATTCAAGCAATACAAAAAAAAAAAGAGAAAAATTAGTTTTACTTACTTATTTCTATTGAATTCTTCAAAAAAACAATTAGATAAAATGTTTGAAACTTATTTGTTGAAAAACTTGACTTTACACGACACGTACAAAAACTGCGTTTAAACTAAAATAATATTACTACAAAATTACTTAAATATGATTTTTATCGAGGGAGGGAGTTGATATGATATTATTAACATCAGATTTCATTGGTTAAAAAAATCATAAACTCACCCCCAACGATAATAAACCATATATTCAACCCTTATAGCCCAAATATTATCTAATAATATTATGAATATGATTTATCGGAATATTCATTAGTTTACTATTCATGATGGTTAAACTAATACAACATTTAATGCTGACTGTCATTGGATACACAATTATTTTTTTAAAAATTTTATTGGTAGTTAAACATAGACGAACAATTCAATAAATACTAACGTAAAAACACAACATAATTGTCCCCTATTAATAAATAATAACAATAAAAGAATTTTTATTGAGCAACCCTCACGCGCTCCCCCTCATTCATTGGCGCATCCTTTAGAAACAGTGAGCGTAATGGACAGCTGCTTTTGCTACAATAGTATTTATGATTTTTTGTAACACTCCACACAATTATTGGTTATATTCATTAAATCACAATTACTATATCCACATGTTTAGACACGTACATCGACACGAAACAATATTAATAAAAACGATCACACAAATAATCTCACCCTTATACGAGTTGGTTGTCATATCTATCCGTGGCATGGAATATCGTCCTGAATCCGTACAGCTGCTTGTGTTGCAATAATATTTTCTGTCTCGTGCTAAACGAACACTCTTGTTATGCACCATTTACAATCGATGATATACCATCAATGAAAATTAGTAAATAACACAATAATTTTGTACGGGGGTTGGCATGTACAAATACAAATGTTTTTTTAAATAGCAACTGTAATTGTCCTAATAGCACAGACCTTCCCAATCACAGCCTATTGACATCCTAAATACTACCATGCAGTATTTAGGATGTCAATAGCCTGTGAATGGGCAGGTCTGTGCTGTTATGTTACTTACAAATATTAATACATACTTACAATATGAACACTATGCATTTCTTTAACACACTCCCCTTGCACAATATACTATATCAGTGTATTTTTATATAACCCCACCACTAAAAGGACTCCATTGCATTGTATCAATGGGCCCCATTTTGTTTAACCCCCTTCACGAGGGGTGTGGCTTATCAACCTATCACAACTCTCCATTTAACCCCAAGTATAGGTGTCATACACCAATGAAAGGTCAACATTTTGTTTTTTTAACATCCCTCGCAGAGGGTGTGGCTTATCAACCAATCACAGATCTACATTTCACCCCCAAGTATAGGAGACAATGAAAGGTCACCATTTTGTTTTAACAACCCCCATCGTGGGTGTGGCTTATCACAACTCATCAATTGTTATACCCTAGGTAGACCACGCCCCCAACCACCCCATGGGTTAATAGGGGTGTCCCAGAAGGTCCCTTTATATGCTACTTGGGGCCGGTTGTTACGTGTCCGGACACTAGAAACGGACGTCTGCATCGTTTTCTGTTCGAGAGATTGGTAGCTGCTGGCCTACAACCAGTTCGTTTAACTGTACAATACAGAATGCACCCCGAAATCAGCGAGTACGCTTCACAAACTATGTACGAGAGTACGATTAGGAACGGCGTAACTTATAGCGACCGAACTGGGTCGATTGATTTCACGTGGCCTAACCCAAATGTACCGATGGTATTTTACTCTTCCGATGCCAACGATAGTGATGAGCAAAACAAGAACAAGACCAAGACTGTCAAAGTCTTGGTCATAGTCTTGTTCTTGATAGCTCAGTCTTGGTCTTGGTCTTGGTCTTGCAAATCTAGTCTTGTTCTTGTTCTTGTTCTTGGTCTTGCCCATAAAATCTTGTTCTTGTTGTGAGTCTTGTCACAATACTCTTGCAAAATCTTGCATTCATTTATATTTGTAAAAATTTTCTACTTAAAAGGTTTAAATAACGATGTTATCTACTTCAGTTTGTAAATTCAAATTTAATTTATATGCCATAGGATTTTTAAGTTAGAACTTAATATTAGCATAAACAATATGGATGATTTTTTTATGAATAGTTTGGGGTATTAAAAAAAAATAAACAAATAAATTAAATTATAAAAAAATAAGACGTTATTTAAACACAGTATTTTTTGACTTGAAACTGATGGCGTGATATTGTCCGAAATGTAACGCAGCGGATGTGCGGTCGGGGGGGACGCGATTTCGATTCTCCTAGTTGGATAATTTTTTTTGCATTTTAATTAATTTTTTTCATTGAATAATGAACATGAATATATTTATTTTATGAGTTTACCAGTCGCCGGTTTTATGTATCGATTTTTAAAACCGGTTTTAAATAATAATCGCTTTCTGTTCATAGACACAGTTTTTAAAAATTATTGGTTTTGATTAACAAAACCGAAAAAAACTGTTATAACCAGTTTTTATAAAACCAGTTTCAGTCTCCGCTTTAGAAGTAAACAAAAATTTTATCTAATTTTATCATAATGTTTGAAGCACGGAATATTTATTTTTAATCTTCTTTAATTATTTAAAATTAATTAATTACAATTGAANATTTAATATTCTTTAATTATTTAAAATTAATTAATTACAATTCAATGACAATAAATTTTGAAACATGATTGTAAAATTTTAAGTTAATCGGTAACATCAGCTCATAGGTAATATTTAATTTGAACAATACGCGTAATGAATAAAAATCAAAGTAAAATTTAATATTGTCGAATCTGTCATTAATAATCTTAACGATTTTAACCAACAACAATTTTTTTTTTTTTTTTCAAGAGTGCAATACTCTTGCAGTTTTATTCTTGTTGTTGCAAGATTCTTGCATTTTGAGTCTTGGTCTTGGTCTTGTTCTTGCAAGTCTAGTCTTGTTCTTGTTCTTGGTCTTGCTAAAAAAGTCTTGGTCTTGTTCTTGTCAATTGAGTACAGTCTTGATGTTGGTCTTGCTGATATTATTACAGTCTTGGTCTTGTTCTTGGTCTCGTAGAAATGCAAGACCAAGCCAAGACCGCAAGAACAAGAATAATTCTGCTCATCACTAGCCAACGAACGAAAATCGCGATCGGGCACGTCTTTCTTGAACTATGGAGTGGCGAAAGTTGTTGAACAACTAATAGCCAAACTCCTTAGCAAAGGAGCTACTCCAAATCAAATTGGTGTTATAACTCCATATGAAGGACAGCGATCACTTTTGAAACAAATTCTAAACAAGAACAAAGGGGTGGAAGTCAATACTGTGGATGCTTTTCAAGGCCGTGAAAAGGAGTATATTATTATATCATGTGTCCGCTCAAACGAGAGAAACGTCGTAGGTTTCCTGAGCTGTGTCCGTCGGCTAAATGTGGCACTTACGTGTGCAAAGTTTGGTCTTTTTTTAGTTGGTAACGCTAACTTTTTGGTTAAAAACCCTACGTGGAAAAGTTTACTACGGTATTATGACGACAGAAATTTGATTGTGGAAGGTACAGTTGATGATATGCGTACAGCACATATTAAGTTTGATTAATTACATGTATCATAGCATTTACTTATGAGTAATTTTATTTTATTAATTTTTCTTTAATTGTTTGATGCTCTAAATTAAAAAAAAAAATTATTATTATTAATTAGTTATTTTTGATACATCAATTATTTATTATACATACTGTTCTATTTTTAAAATTAAAAACATATTTTATTTAAAAAAATTAACTTTTTTTATTCACTTCTACTTTAAAGTAATTGATTAATTTGATAATTCATTAAGTATCATATAACTTAGAGAGAGGTGTTGTCTAATTGGTATGCGGCACTATCTGATGTGCGTAATTTTAGGTTTGAGACTAGGTTACGAGTAGCTCCGTTTGCTAAGCAAGACAAGTATTAAACCACATATTCTAAATTATCCATGGTTAAGTATGTGACCTATTGAGCTATAAAATTGTGAAAAAAATGATTTAATTAAAAAAACTTTGTAAGAATCAAATTAAAATGTACTTCATATTAATCAATATCAATTTAATAAAATTGGAAGCTTAAATAAAAATATGCACTGTTTAAAAATTTATTGTTTTATTTAAATTTTACACTGAGTTAAATGATATAAATTCAATGAATAATTAAAATAAAATTCTAAGTGTTATTATTATTATTTTACTATTGGGATTATCCATTAGGATATAGTTGGCACATTACTTTGAGAATTTATTTTAGATATATAAAATTAATATTCAACTTTAAATATTACACCAACTATAAAATAATTTAATATAAGTACAGAGAAATTAGAAAAAGTTTAAATAGGTATAATACCCAAAAAAATATTTTTAATTGTTTTAGGCAAAACTATTAGTTTAAAAATAATCAAAATCTTAAAATTTAGTTTAGTTTAAATGTTTTTATATCATTGCTATAACATATGGAAGAGTCTTAGAATAAATAACAAGTTATTTTTATAAAATAAAAATTATACTAATTTTTTTTTTTCATTTAATACAAAAAATTTTTAATATTCTAATACTTAATTAATTTCAACTATGGAAGTATAATTAAATTTGATTTACATATTACAAAATTCTACTTAACATTAAAATATAATGGAAAAGTGGGATTATTGTTAAAATGATTTTTGTTAAAATAGGATTGATTTGAAAATAGCTGTTTTAGACTAATGAAAAGTCATAGGACCGAGTGGTTAGATATTAATATTTATATAGAACTTGTTCAGTCTTAAAAAAATAAATAAATAGAGTTAGTATAACAGTTTTTATAATTCTTCTTTAGAAGGACTATCTAATTCAACATCTGATAAATCAATATCTTCTACTTGAGGTAATTCACCATCTTTTCCATCCCAAGGTTCAATTGTATTAATTTTAGGCATTTCAGCACCTCTGACTGGAACTGTTCGTTCACGTCATATGATAAATCCCTAGTTTTTTTTTTTAACAAATTATCAAAACTGAACAATTTTTAATAAAAAAAGTATATAAACCTCAAAAATTTATTAATGCCATCTTCTGAAAAAGATCCCCTTAAAATAGAGTACTTCATTTTTTTAACATTTAAAACTGCTAATGCAGGATAACTAAATCCACCAATTTCTAATGATGATTCCAATTCAGATTGATTTTCTGCTTCAGATCATAACCATCTAAAAAAATAAGAAATTGTAATCACAAAAGAATAAGAACAGTAAATGTTTTTAAGTAAAATTAAAAAGTAATAATTTTCTAATATAATTAAGTGATGTAGTTTACCCCTAAAGCTTTTGTTTAAATTTATCTCCCAATGAGCGCAACATTTTGATGTATTCATTACAACTGGACTGACAATCTAAGATATGAGGCAATACAGCAATTACACATAAAGCATGTTCTGAACATCCAGACTTGAAGGTATCTTCATTTATAACCTAGTACAATATGATTGATTAAAGGTAAATTATTTATTTCAATATAAAAATGTAGATTAAATTTCAAAAAGTACAAACAAAAATCTTATACAATTTTCAAGATTCAAAAAAAAATTAGTTTCGTAAAATAAGAAAAATTTGTTTTACTTTTTCTAAATATATATATTTTACCTTCAATAAAAAATATTCTTAACCAACTCATTTAAAGTAAAATTTTTTTAATCTGGCAACAATTTGAAACTTAACAATACATCAAATAATTATATGTAAAATATAATTAAAATTTTTTAAGTCTCAGATTTAAAAAAAAAATCAAAGAAAGAAAATTATCTTATTTTCTCATTGATTGTATGAAAAATAATTGTCTTACTAAAAAAAATGTTTGTGTCTCATAACATTGATTATATTAAAAACGGTCATATTTATTTATTCTATGTTTTATATAAAGAGAAATAGATGAAATTATTTTTATCGAATTTCATTATTCTGAATCAAATAATTTTTTTTATAAAAAAAAAAAACATAAAGGTACCTGCATAAAAACATAAACTATACAAAATGTAATACCTCAAAAACTTCAGGAGTGTGGTACATTTTCTTTATGTTTCTGCAATGCCCAGCTAATAATATCATTGGATGTTCGACCACCTGTGTATTCTTCAGCTCCACTAAAACTAGATGTGCCTGATGGGAAGAAATTTATTGTTGGATAACCTCTAATTTGATATTGTTAAGCTTTTGATGAATGTACAGTAGCATCTAATGTACCCAGTTTAACCTTAAGAATAGTAATAATTTATTATTTTAATTTTAATATAATTTATAATAAATAAATATATGTTTATATATTTTATCGATATATATTTTTTAATAAATAATTAGCAAAAAATTATAATTATGAATGACATTAACATCATAGTTATAAAATTGCCATTAATAGATAGATAATTTTGTGAAGAATTCAAATATACACAATATCAGTATATTGTAGTTTACATGTAAATAATCAGAAAAAGAACAATTTAAAAAAAAAA